GTGATCTCAGTGGAACTTCCAGGTTGAATAAAGGTAAATAAATAAATAAATTCCCCTCTTAATTTTTCTCTCTGTTTATTTATTTATTTTTTAAGATTTTGAGTTTTTGAGTAAAACGTTTGTTGTTTTTCCTTTTTCTATTTACTGTGCATTTCTGTTTTACCTTTCAAAGAGGGTTCAATCCATCTCTTGGTTAACTGACACAAGACACTCAACAGAAAACGAACTGGAGCACAGTTTTTACAAAAGTAAAGAATTGCAAAACCATATTAACTCAAAGTTTTAATTAATTTATTACTAGTATTTTTTGTTTGTTTGCTGCATTTATTTGCATAATATTCTGCTTTGCAGAGAGTCATTTATTTCCTTCTGTGCTTTAGATTTTCAGGCCTCAGTAGACAAAAGTCTCACCATTGATGAGGAAAAAGAAGGCACCAGTTTCATTTGCTACAGCTCGGGCCACCAGGGTCTTTCCTGTTCCTGCAGGGCCGTACAGCAGGATACCTCTGGGGGGCTGAGAGAGAAGGGAAGAACATACCAAGTAATGCAAAAAGATGCCATGTTAAAATGGAAACAATCACTATTATTGGTGGCTGGGATGATAATTTGTTTTTGAACTGCATGTGTGTGTGTGTGTGTGTGTGTGCATGATACCTTAACTCCAATAGCCTTAAACAGTCCTGGGTGTCTAAGAGGAAGCTCCACCATTTCTTTGATCTGGGCCAGCTGCTTCCGACAGCCTCCAATGTCATCGTAGCCAATGTCATTGAGACTCTCCTCTTCATCCTGTCATGCACCAGAAAGCCAGACAGTTTATTACTGTATGTACTGATTAAAAGATGAGGCGATGAGATTTCTTTGGGTATATCTTTGCATCGTCAAAGGTCCCTTTAAGCCATTTTTATAAATTTGATAGTATCCTGAAACAAGAAAGTCATTTGTCCTGAGTCAGACGTTCGGTTCTACAAAAGAGACTTCTTTTTACTGGAACAGGAAGAAATCGGATGGGATGAAAGAAGAATGAATGTCACACTAAAGAAAAACTGCAGAAACCTAAATAAACCCCATGTAGTCACAATCTTCATCTAATGTTTAATCTAAAAAGTATTTGGAGATTGTTAGTTCAAAATACCTAAAACTGGGGTCAATACAAGCAAACAGAGAGATTCATGGAGTTGCTCTGTAATATAATTTAATATAGATGTGAGAGAAGTGAGTCGTGGCTGGAAATAAGTGAAAGTATATGTCTATTTTTGATGCAACAAATGAAGCAACAGTTTATACAATGAACTAACAAAAAATTAACAAATCTGTGAGAAGAATATTTACTAGTTTAATTTTAAATGAGCCAAAATGCAGTCTGATTAATGTTATTTATTTATTGTACAACAACACATTGCCAATATGATACATGCAATTTGCAGTTTCATAAAGGACTTTACAGTATAAGCTCTACAATCTGGAACAAACTGGTGCAATACTTCTTGCAATAATTCTCCAGATAGGAGAATTTCGATATAAAATGGTTTTCTTACAGTTCTTTAAATGTGAACACACACTAACATCACACAAAGCAGACTCTTTAATCTCTCACAGACCTCTCTCTTAATTGGCTCTCCCTCACAGTAGATGACTGTGTCAGGGGCAACGATGCAGTGAGGGCTGGGGTCCGTCTCCACCACCTTGAACTCCACAGCTCGCATGCTTCCCCTCACCAAGAAGATGTCACCTAACAATGAAAAGGAGAAGCCACTACATTCACAGCAGCTTCTTGTGCTCTTTGAGTTTCTGTTTTATGTTATAACGTGACCTCAGCTGATTTTATTGCGCTATAACTAGCAGCTGAGGTGTTGCTGTACCTTTGTGCACAGGCCGGTAAGCCTCCAGAAAGTACGGTTTGAGGAAAACATCAAAGAGGTTCCCTGATAGGCCTTCAATGGTGTCATCTATGGGGAGCACGTGGATCTTTTTCCCATACTTGATATCAGGACAGGCATGGATACTGTAATGACACGCACATCAGCAGACACCTGTGGATTATGGTAAATTCATAGCTCCACACTACACTCAAAGCCACAGGCATGAGGTCCACTGCACCTGATGACGTCACCAAGCCGGACACGCAGGTTGTTGCGCGTCACACGGTTCATCCGAATTCGTTCATCTCCACAGGTGTCATCCGTCAGGACGATGCACACTGTTTGCCGTCGTTTCCGCCCTCTCAGCACCACGGTGTCTCCTCGGAAAAGCTGGAGCTCCTCTGTCTTTCGCTAATGCAAACACACACACACTCACACACATAAGCCTAACAGTCTAACAAGAAGACAAACAGGACTCTGTGTGGCTATATTTACACCTTACACACACCTGTGATAGGCTGACAATGCTGCTGTCTTCACTGACAGCCTCATCTACAATGAGCCTGTTTGGTCTATGCTTCTGCTTCAGGATGGCAGTGGAGTAATCTTCTCCCTTTGGGCTTCCAAACAAGAGACACATTATGGCACTCTCACATGTACGTGAAGCTCTAATTTCCTCATGTGACTCTGTGCTGTATTTAGAATCTGTGTGGCTCTGCACATAGCAACTATTTGATTTCATAAACATGAAAATATTATTTGATTATCAATAATTAACTGTACAGGAGTTTTAACATTTTTATGATCTTGAACAGCTGCACTGTGATTTCTCATTATTCAAAGTTTCATGACACAAAAATCCATATTGGATAAAATGTCTTTACTCCTTAAAATATTTTACTGCATATTGAAACATGCATGACTAAGCACACACACACACACACACACACGCGCATGCATACACAAAGTTACTGTGTGCATACGCAGCTGTTTCACTCACTCTGCTCCTCCTGAGCCTGGCATGACTGCTCCTCTTTGTCCTGTCACACTTTAGATTTCCTTCAATTTTTCACCCTCAGAGTTCACTCCCTCACTGTCTTCTGTAGGTGTTTGCCCTCGTAGATTCAAAAGTTGATCTTGTGTAGTTCTAATCAGCACCGAAGAGCTCAGATTTCCCTCTGATCTGACCAGCGCTGTTCAGGTTTTAGTCTTTCTGAAGCTCTGATATTTTCCCAGCAGTCAGAGTCCTTTTTCTTTTCCTCTGTTTTCTTAAAGCAGCATGTTTACAGGAGGTGCTGCCTGCCTGTTTATCAGCGGAGGTATAAATATGTCCATCTACTTCTCTGTCTTATTATAACCCCAACATGGGTGGACCCATACACACACTTTCACACACACACACTCCCTTGCACACTTACCTTGGAGAGTGTCCCAGAACAGATACAGTGTGATATTTCCTCCTCCTCCTGCTACTAACCAACAAATGCAAGCAAGAGCTGAGCGAGCCTCAAACGCTGTGAAATATTTATGGGTCGCAATAAGTTCTGCTTTCAAAAGAACTGACATATCGTCCGTTTTATCTCCTGGACGAGTCCTCTCTTTTCTAAAACCATTGTCCTTCGACTCCTTGTCACTGTGACTGAAGTGAACTGCTGTTGTGCTCCGGCTGCTCTCGGCCGTTGGTGTATTTATGTTTAGTACACACATACATAGACACACCCTCTCAAGGACACTCACAAAAACACCACCACAGCTTGCAAACAACTGAGCATTCACTCACTGTGGATTCTTTTTATTTTTTATGTTTTATTACTAAATTGTTTAAACAAATGAAAGGAAACAAGCTACAAGGGCTTAAACATACTGTACATTCCCCCTGTGAGAATCAGGACTCGAGCTGTTCCCTCCAACAGATTTAACGAACAAGAAGGAAATGATGTTAACAACACATCGAACACTTTCTTCTTTCTAATGGTAATAATCTTTCAAACACAGTTATTGGAAAGACAGTGAGAGGTAGAGGAGGTTTAAATGCACAAAGAAACATTGAATCTGATTTACGCATCAGTGTACGTTGAAATGTATTGGATATGCTGAAAAAAAAAGAAATAAAAATAAGACAAAGAAACAAAATTACAGTTTTTTGTATCATAAACATGGAATGTATGCTGTTACAATACAGATGGAAATAAATTATGTGACAACTGGACACATTTGGTCGCCTTTTGCCGTTATCAGTCAATAAAAGCCATTAAAAAATGCTGGTGGTATGAGATCACTTGATTGATCGACTCAACTTTACCCACAACATCTCTCAGTAAATAATGTAATCTTAGTAATTAACAATCAGCCAAATGGGTTTTAATATATATGTGTGTGTGTGTGTGTGTGTGTTAGTTCAGAGGTGATTTATCGACTGATTTCAGTTCAATTAGCCAAACTTTACTCTGCAGCTGGTTTCACAGAGATATTTAGATGCTTCATAGGTGTTTTCTACATTAAATAGGCCACAAAAGCAGTATTTTTTTTCTTTAATGTTGACTATCAGTAATATCTATAGGAACAAAAGAAGTAAGCATGTCTATAAGACTTGAGCCTTTGTTATGTAAGTAAAGCGCTTTTAGTGTTTCTTGCTCAAATTTGGGATTTTTTATCATATGTTTTTTTACATCGTCCATCAAAATGCACTGTCCCTGTTAAAAGTAACAGTCAGGTGTTTTCATAGACCCAGGAAGGCAAAAGATTGAACCAGCTGCCTGTCCCTTCAAGCTTTTCCTAGTTATGTATGACAAAATTAAAATCTATTTACTAAATATTAAAAAGTAACTGCCAAGTGTAACTAGCTAACAGAAGCAACTAA